CGCCGCGGCTGCCGCTCTTCCCTGGCGCGCAAGCGCAATGGGGCGGACGGCGGAGCGCGCCAGGACCTCACTGCACGCGAGAGCCGCGGTCCCGGGGGTGGTGTCTTCTGTCGCAACTCAAGGACCCCCCCAGGGGCATGAAGACTGCACGCCCCCAGAGGCTGCTGTTGGTGGCGCTGTTGGCGGCGGGAGTGTGGCAGTGGCGAGTGGTGAGCTGCCACAGGCGGCCACGGCGCTGTTGGCGGTGGGGAGGGGTGGCGAGCGCTGACCGGCCGTCAGCGACCACCCCGCAGATGTTGCCGGCAGCAATCAGGGACCGCCCGCAGTTGCCACCAGTGGTTTTGGCAGCGAGACGGGTGGCAAGTGGCGACCACCTGCAGGTGCCGCTGGCAGTGTCGGTGGCCCTTTTTGCAGGGGGTCCAACACCAAGCTCAAGGGATACGCGTGCACCCCCTACGCGTCGTCAGTGCCCAGGAGGATGCATACCCCCAGTTGACAACCCCTGGAATAGGCCATCGCACAGTGGCAGAGAGTGGCTGCTGGTGACTTTTGGCAGGCTTCACTCTACTGCCCTGCATCTCAGCTACCATATATATACTGCATGTGCTTTTTTCCTGACACCCACAAGCCTGACTTGGTATTCACACTTGCCAGCAATAGCCAGTCTTTGGAAATGGACTTTGCTACAGCTTGGAAAGCTCTGAAGTAGATGTATATAGCAGTACATAGTTATCAGTTCAGGAAGTTACAAAGGGATTTTCATGACAGGAGAACCACTCTGATGTAAACTATTTTAAACAACAAAGTTGTATAATGCAGTAAAATAACATATTATAAACTTTTTCTATGTACATGTGCCAAGTATTATAATAATGATTCTATCACTTTGAGGATATTGTCAATATATATGTTGCTGTGCTGTCTTAATGGTTTCTCTATACTTCCTGCAGTTTTTTATATGATGACATTTTCATCATCCCAGATGGCAGCAAATACACACTGATTAAGTACGCCTCTCTCTAAATATATGGATAGATGGTTTTTTTAAATAAACATTCATCTTTCCAAATATGCTCTTTCCAGCTTGGGCTTGGCTCTTTCTTACTTCATTGCTGGCCTCCTGCAAAGTGAAAAGTGACTGGGAATTATAGATGTTTTCCTCAGTGCTTTTTAATTCCCTTTTTATTTGCCAATATTCTTCATCCTGAAAGAGAGAGATGCTTCACCTCAGTTTAAGCTTCAATACTACTTTAGTGTCAGTGGTATGCTCAGAAAATACAAAACTGCAGTGGGGCAAACTGCCCATTATCTACTTCCCAGGATCTTCAAATAAGAATTCCCCTTGGTACTGTACAGCTGACATTCCCTTAGTGCAGCCTCATTTTTGCCAGATTTATGAAACCTTTCTTTTGACAGTGAGCCCAAACCGTGAGGTCCTAACTCTTTTTTCCCAATAATCAGGCTGAAGCAACAGGTGCATAATGGCTTCAATACAAATATTTTGGTTTTATTACCACTGCCCAATCAATGCATTAATTCACTTGATAAAGAATTAAAGATATCAATATAGTCAGTACCAGTCAATGTCTTTTTTTTATGGAAAGTAAGTCTTTTCAAATTGACCTGATACCATTGTTAGGTGAGCTTACACATTTGGCTGACTAAAGTAACTATATTAATATAATAGACTTCTGTAAAACATTTAATTTGCTATGTGAATACACATTCTGATTAAAATTTTATCACTATCCATTAATTATGGATAAAGAACTGGATACATGACAGATCTCAAAAAAACTAGTTTTCATTGGGGATTCAACAATAAATGAAGTTGTTTTGTAAGAGGAGGGGGTAGTACTAGGCCTGATCTAGAAGTGAAGAAAACCACAGCTGATAACACTCATAGATGACACATACTTTCATGAAATGGCAATGTTGTGGACAAGTCAGTCATAGCAAGTGAGTTGGATTGTTAATAAGCTGGGTGGGTTCACACATGGTGTCTTCTAATTTAGCCACATGCAACATAGGCTGTGGAACGGGGTGGGCCACCCCAGGGCCATGGCCCGACCAACTTTTAGCACATTAATTTATATAACCCACAAATGCACAATTGTCATTCCAGTTAAAACTGTATAGCTATTTTTGTAACTGCATAGCTAGCTAAACTTATACTTCCGCTCTCTTTGTGCCTGATGTGATGTTTCTGACTGACGTGTCATTACATAAATCACCTGTGCATACGTCCCAGCTAACGTCCCCAAAACACATTCAGGACATCAGGAAAAAAAAAAAAAGAAATGAAACAAACCCATTACAGACTTTTTCAAAAGCAAACAAAACAAAAGAGGTGAAGATACAACACAAGCACCACTGGCACCACTACCAGAATCGAGTAAGGAAAAGACAGACCTCTATAATGAGGTTGAGAAAACAGAACCTGTCGCGTCTACCTCCTTGGTTTGCGTTGCTGCCACTTACTGCTCCGGTGAACGCTGTATGGATTTTGCCAGGCCCTGTCAAGCAGATGACCCCACAGTGCTGGAGGGCACTAAAAAGGTACAGGGAACTGATTCATCACAGCAAACTTGGTTAGTTCAATTGAATTGGTTCAAAGACTTTAATTGGCTAACTTTGTGTGAAACACAGGGCAAACTGTTCTGCACACAGTGCTGTTTCTGTACAGTCAAAGGCCTAAACCTGACCAAAAAACCCCAAGGTGCATTTGCTGTTAGTGGTTTTCAGAATTGTTAACATGCTGTCAAATGCTTCCGAGAACATGAAAAAACATAATGTTACCGGGAAGCCATGGCTCAAATGCAAACATGTATGTCACATCAGCCAAGCATCGATACTCAGCTTGACTTGCAACTTAAGGCTCAACAAAAATATAACCAAGAAATGCTAATTAAACAGCTAACATCCCTTCGTTTCCTAATGGGACAAGGATTGGCAATAGAGGGTCATGATTCCGAACGTGGCAGTCTATATCAGCTCATGCAACTTCATGCTCAAGATTGTCCTGATCTTAGCCGCTGACTTTCTGAGAAATAAATACATGTCCCATGATGTAATCAATGGATTAATTCATCTCTTTGCAATGGACATCTTCTGTGGTCAGGGTGAACAAACAACTCAATATGAGCTACCAAAGTTAGATGTTGGATTCATCATTTCTTCATGACTACATGAACCCCTTCAGAAAATATAATTTAGCTAAACAGAGAACGTACAGGGATATATACTTTTTTATTTGAGGGGGGAGGGGTGGATAGTTAAATAATACAATAATAGCTGTAGGATAGTTTTCACAACATCTAATGACTGCAGCAGGGAAAACCTCCTAATGATTTAGTTTGCTTTCTTCAGCTGTACACTCTTCTGATAGTCTCTATCACTTGAATTTCTCTTTTCCACCTGGGGTATCACCTGGCCCTTGGTACCTGGGGTGGGTTGAAAGTTGCTTCATCAATATGCTATGGTTCCTTCTCTGGCTAGGGAATGGCTCAGCAGGCAGTGTCTACTCTTTCATATGCCTGAGTTATGGTCAGCTTCTTTGATTCTTTGTGCAACTTAGCTGGATGTCCCCCTCCTTCTCTCATTAAGTCTTTTTTTCTCTCTCTCTCTTTGTCTCTTAACTCAGGGCTTTTGATCCCTCTTCTCAATGGAGACCTGTGATAAATCCAATCAGCTGCTACTCTTCTGAGGTTGACTCCCAGAGCATCCAGATTGGTTCTTTTTTTCTTTCCTGTTTTCTCTTCTTGACCTATACAAGGTTAAAGTTCTCTTTTCTCAAAAGGAAGTGAGAGATGAGACAGCCTCTGCCTGCAGTCTCATTATGTCTAGGATGAGACATCATGTCTAGGAAAGTTCCTCCATGTGCCTTCTTGTCCTTGTCTTTTCCAGTTTATTTCCAATGCTGGATAGCAGTGCTTTTCAACCAGTGTGCTTACTAACTCCCTGGTGTGCTTCAAGAACTGAATGCAAATGAAATGAATCCAATTCAGTTCCTTCCTGGTGCTTTGATATGGGATGCAGAGTAAATCCGAATTAACTTAATCGAACCAGATCCACACCTCATCCCACATCAACGTCTCACAAAGGATGCAAATCGGATTCAGTTCATTTGAACTCAGCTCCTTCAAATTCGCTTCTCATCCTGTGTCAAGTTCCCAGGAAGGATCTGAATGAGCTGAATCCAATTTGAGTCCTTCCTGGGACTTGGATGTAAATCAGAATTAACTGAATGTGAGTTAGGTGAACCTGATTTGGATCCGCTGTTTATTCCACATCAAGGTCCCGGGAAGGATCCAACTGGATTCAGTTCATTCTGACTCAGCTTCTTCAAATTAACTCCTCATCATGTGCCAAGGCCCAGGGAAGAATTCGAAGGACCTGAATCTGATTCAGATCCTTCATGGGCCCTTGGCGCAGAGTGAACCCAAAGGAGCTGGATCTGGACTTGGGCTGTGCAGGGGGCAGTGCCCCCAAACAGGGCAGGGGTGGGGAGGTGCAGCACTGTGGCATGGCTCCACATGTGTGAACACGGGGAAGCGTGCCTGACACTGGTGGGAATCACCTCAGGATGGGGAAGGAGCCACCAGGCCTGGCCCTACCGGGATGCTGAGTG